AGGCGCGAAGAGGCCGGAGTGGGAGCCGCCGTGACCGAGAAAAATCGGTTCACCCTCCCATAAAAAGTTATCACTTCAAAAAATTCCAAAGAAATTGGCCAAGTAGAGCAAAAGTTCCTTTATGTATTATCTCACGAAAACCATAATGCAGTCCAATTGATAATTGATTACTCGCTATCTTCTGGAGCAGATGCAGATCATCCAGTTCATAATTGAATTCCGTCGAACCTGCATGTAAGGGCTTTTCAATTTTTCTTTCTTTAGAAAGATACCTACTTATCTATATTGATTATGACGTCTTTATTGTGGATTATTTGTGATTTAAGCACTCATCTCCTTCTCGTGACAATTGGACTTTAGAGGCCACAATTGGCAAGCAATTCATGGCCAATTCCCTTTCAAGGTATTCTCTATAAGCTCTAAAGTTAGCAATTTGCTACTGCTGCGGGTGAGGCGCTTTTGCTTTCAATTGGTATGCTACAGATAGGTTCGAAAGCAAAACTTTTTTAAATTTTAATCCCACTTGCATTAATCACTGCTTCATCCTGTAGAAAGTGACGTACATCGGTCACGCATTTAGATTCTACCCGGTCGCAGCATCCCGGTGCTCCAGTAACGCGTCTCGACACCTCGCCGACGTTTTAAAGTTATTTTTAACTAATTTCGAATTCCTCATAATCGCGATGTTTTCCCCGATTTTTTAGCGCCCCCCGATAAACTTGACTACCGTTAGTGAACGTGCAGAAACATCAGTTTCGCTTTCTAAATTTTTTTCTGCCGTACAAAGAGTTGTACTTTGTAACCCCGTAGTAGAATGATCAAGTTTGTTAGAGGTAGGTAATAAGGGCTTTGCAGGGCACATTCTCGAACGCGAATGGAGAAAACCCCCCTATTCTGGGCGTTTTTACAGCTGTAAACAAAAATAAATGCTGGGCGCGTTTGTAAGATCTATTAACAGATTCTGACACACTGCTGTTTACAAATATTGCGGCAGTAGGAGGGTTGTTCGTTTAGTATATTGTGCCCAAGAATTAGGACCCTCTATGAGCTAAAAACAATTAGAACAATTAGTCGAACGGAAAAACCCTCGGACATGCAAACCGTTATTTTTTAGGCTCAGATTTTCCAATCATCAGACTTCCGGCTGTAAAATAACAGAAATAGATTTCTCTGTTAAAATAGGTTTCATCAAATATTTTGCAATAATCTTTAATTTATAGTGGATTTTGAAGTTTAATTCAAGGCAAACAGATCTATTAAAACGCATATGATTCAGCTATCAGTTACATTAGATACGCAACACAAATATATAGGAACATATTTTGAACAGTTAATAAAACAAGTAACAAAGTACTTTGTTACTGACTGTGACCTCTAACTTTTTAGTATTCTACAAGGGCTTCCAAGCTTTGTCCAGAGCTTCAGATAAAATATTTTTGTTTCTTCGTTCCCTTTTTTCCACACTTGCTGGAAATGGAAACATTTTAAATCGATTTTTTCTATTACAAAACATCTGCGCCCCAACTATCTATATCAAAGTACCTTCTTGAGGGTGTTAAGATTTGGGTCTTAATTTATTAAGCTTAAGCTAACGCAGCTCCATGCTCCAGGACAATGTAGGGATACCTACCGAAAACTTAGAAAGTGTTGCTGATGGGCAACATCTTGTGCATGTCAATTAGTGTAATATATAGCTTAACTGTTATTATTATTTACCATAATATTTACTCATTATCGTTAGATAGATTGTAAATTATAGAGGAGCTCACAAAAAAAAAAAAAAAAAAAAGCTAACGCAGCAGATTCAATAGATTCCAAACGTTTCACTCAAAATTTAGGAAAAACGTTGTTTGAAAATGTGCAATCTGGGTCCCAATTTACTCTACTACTATCTACTACTTTCCACTAATTATTGAAAATACAGACGTACGATGATATTATGTAAAGCATTTTATCCGACATCAATAAGGCAATTTAGTTGATCAATTTAATCGAGATTTGGCTCAATATTGGAGAATTGTTACTTCCTTATGTGACTCAAGTATTTTTCATTTCCCATTACAAATCTAAGTAGGAGAGAAAGGAAAATCTGAGATTTTCTTAAACATAATACGCTCTGAAAGCAATCGGAAATACGAAATTTACTGAAAAATTGAATTTACGAAAGTTGAAATTAATATATGGGTTAAAAATAACTTTCCATGAAAGCGTGTTTGCTGGCTCCATAATCCATCTGCATTATAACAAATTTTATAAAACTCTTCATCTCATGAAACCGTCCAGTGTTTCCGTTTTTATTTTCAATTGTAAGGAATCTAAGGAAACATCGGATGGCAAATCTGGCAAGAATAAACTTTTGTGGAAATGCTACTTTTGACTTTTGAAAAACTCTAATACTATCTTTGAAAAAAATAATTATTTATTTTTTCTTTGCAACTTTTGCTCGCTACATGTTCCTAATTCAGTTGCGACAAAGAATCAACCTTGAACGTTTTTGCATTTTTTTTGAAACCCTTGTATTACTGGCATGCCTTGGGCAAAAAGTTCTTATTTGAAAAATAAGCACCAAATGTATTCAGATTGCTGTTGAATTAGTTCGGGATACGTTAGGAAGCAATTAGTGCAATTAAGTCAGAACGCAAGATAATGCGTTCGAACAGATTAGATAACTTGTTGATCTTTTAATAATAACTTTATTAATTCTTTTCCCTATTTATCTAATGCGAAATATTACTGAACGGCATCAGACAGTCTGTTCGTCTAGCTTCTGCTTCAGTTCCAAATTATCAGAGCTGTTTTTAGTCGCAAAAGCTCTTTTAAACTTGTAGCGTAATATGCTTTAATCTTCCACCTTCATAGCTTTGTAGTCGTTTGATATACGAAATATCCGAAACTCAGTGCCGGATCAGGAATATTTAAGAAGCTTAATGGTTGCTTATTTGAAACGTAATTGTTTTGATTTTGCAGATAGCGTAATACGCACTCCCACTAAATATGATCATTTAAAAAATCTGAACTTTTTTATATTGCACGGTACCGTTCACCTAAAGCCACATAGAAGGCAAGTTTGTACAAGTTTCAGTTGCAATAATTGTAATTGCCTTAACAAATAATTTGATTTGTTTCTTATAAAACGAATATTTCCACATACTGCATCTGCAARTAGGTGCAATATCACATAATAGATTTTTTTAGTAAAGTACTCGTTGCTMCAATATAAAATACAGGTRGTTTTACTRAAAATGTCACCATAGTTGCATTAAAGTMTTAYACCAAAWGTGTGTTTTTTCSTATAAAAAAGTCTGTACAATACAGRAAACGTATCCAAATTTTTAWTATTTTACTTCGGTGTTTGGTGCTTCTCAATKGAGAAAATTAGAGCTTGTTTTCATTTTAAATCGCTTTCCTTCATGATTATCCTCACTTTTTWACGTTTTTAGACCAAGTACCAGCYTCTTGTTGGTGACACRCTCTTTTYAGTTTTARTTTTTTTAATTTGCAATATTTTTCTCTACATTTCTATYGATTTAAAAAAGTKMTGCGCAAATGGCTTGGGGCGCCAACCCAACGCACCGGTGCAGTAACCCTTTTTTGAATTTTAAACTGAAAAACGCTCTATTTTGAAAAGTTTTACTTAAAAATACTGACGATCTGGATGTATTTTACGCGAAAGTTTACAAGATTTTTCGGATTTGGTTTAAGGGATTTTTCGGATCTCAATTCGGGACAAAAACGAAAATAAATGTATCCTGTTTTTCCCCGAAAACTGTTAAGGTTTACGCAAAAACCGATCACAAAGTTTCAGATAATTTTCTTATTTTCTGACAATAATGGGGTCTTTGCAGCCAAAAATGACAAAATTTGTTTTACTAGAAAATTCGTCTTATTCCTCGGTTTTCAGGAAACTTTAAAAAACCCTTTTCAGCATCGAATTTGGCACAAAAACCAAATAATTTTATTCAGTTTTTTACCGAAAGTAATAATAGTAAAAGTAAAGTTTACAAAAAGTAATTTGGAAAATTCGCCGCCCTCATTGATATGAAGATTTTTAAAATTTTTTCAAGTTTTTAGCCAAAAACGCAAAAGAACACTATTTTCTGATGATTTTCTTTTTTTCTGACAAGGTTCTTGCAGCCAAAAATGACAAAATACATTTTGCTAGAAAATTCGCCTCATTCATCGGTTTGCATGACGATGTAAACTTTAAAAAACCCTTTTYAGCTTCGAATTTGRCACAAAAAMCAAATAATTTTTMAWTTTTTTTCCRAAAGTAATTAAGATTATCTTGCAAAAACGGCCAGAGAGCAAAAGTTYCCAAAAAAATTATTSGGAAAATKCGCTACCCTCATCGCTTTGAAGATTTTYCAAGTTTCTTAAAAATTTCRGGTCATTCCAGTTTTAGCAAAGTTTCTATTAWGCAATTTTTTCTACGCAAAMAAGTATTATTTGTAGTTTTGCTTAAAATACTGACAATCTTCAGGTAGTTTCTGTGAAAATTATAAAATACTTTTTATTGGAACACTYGGCTCCTGAACAGTTTTGTAAATTTCTTCTGGGTCCTTTTGCAGCTTCGAATTTTGGACAAAACCCTAATAATTTTTTCTGGATTTTTTCTCAAAAATATTTCTTCGAACAGAACAAGTGAAAGTTTATAATCARTTATTCGGAAAACTCGTCACTTTTGTCGCTGTGAATAATTTGGATTATTTAAATTCCGGTTTCTTCACTTTTAGGTCAATGTTTCTAAACAAAACGTCTGAAAACAGAACAAAGCGTTTTTTTGTAACGTTTTACTGTGAAATACTGACAAACTGAGTAATGTTCCCCGCATATGCGAATGAAACGTTGGGAAGCAACTCCGGTAGTTCACGGCTTATAAGCCCGAAAAACTTTTCAACCGATATTTCGTCTGATTCTTCAGTCAATACATAATTTTTTTCTGAGTTCCTCAGAGTAGTTCTGAGTCAAATACTTTCTTATTTCCATGCCTGAATGTCACTTTTTACTATTTCTTACAATGTTATCTCAATGCGTGATGTTTTTCAGGTGCACCGAACCCCGACTTGTTGCCTCCCAGGTTTCGAGATGAAGGATCACAGTGTGTAACATTTCCAGAAAATGCAAACGCAGTCCTCAAAGCCGATTTATACGATCTCGGACGAAACACCGAAATATCTTGGTAAGATCCAAAAATGTATTTTCTTGTTGACCAAAAAGTCCAAGCACCAATCGTTGTTTTCACATCTCGTCTCTTCGAATTTCAATGACCATGAGTCTGAGCTGGAGAGTTATTCTTTCTCCTGTAGATTTTTTCAGTGTAAAAACACCTGTTTGTGTGCCATAAACTTTATTATTGTCAATTTTGGATCAGGCCTAATGTAATTTCGCGGTGGTTTCCAAAATATCGCCTCACCGAATCCACTGACGGAGGTTCTGCTCGCTTGTTTTGTTTTATTTTTGAAACTGTTTTGTGTTGCTCAAACTGTTTTTGGCTCGATGACAACAATTTCTCCGCTCCACACATATTCATTGATTCAGCTAGAAATTTCGACGTAAATATGCTCGGGGAAATTAAACCGCATTTTATGAGGTTTTTAAATCCGATAGATAGTTTTATATCGCCGCCATTTATAGTCCATGATTTTATTGATTGTTTTTATTAGTTCAACTGGTTGGACGTGGCGCTTGGAAAAGCTAAAAATCTTTAAGAAATAAACTAAATTTTTTGTATTTTGAGATTATTTAAGTCCAACCTTGGCCCGCAAGATCCTGCGACTTAACACCGTTAGATTTCTTTTTGTTTGCCTGTGCGAAAGATCGTGTTTACGACAACAATCCTCAAACTTTTTAGCAACTGAAAGCCAATATCCGTGAAGTTATAACTGAGATATACCGGTAATGTGCCGAAAAGTCATTCAAAATTACCTCAAAAGGATTGAGGCCTGTAGGAGGTCCCGTAGAGGACATTTAAATGATATTGTTCTTCAGGTATAGGGCAAGGTTTAATCTTTACATTGAGTTAAAATTTTCGTCTCCATCTGAATATTTTGTGGGTTTTTTACATTACTTTCCTAAGCATAAAATGGATAACCCTGTATAAAACGTCCGACAAGAAGAAACTATTAATGATGAACACTTTGTGGCCATGGTTTGTAACGTTCGGGTTTTTTTCTTCATAAACAGTATAATTTTGAAAAGAAAATTTAAAAAAGAAATAATTTAAAGTCTTTCGTGTCTTCTTTTTCAAATTCCATAATAAATCAAATGCACTTTTCAGTATCGCCCAATTTTTTTAGATAAAGGGTGTCCGTCTTCACCCCTATGTGTGGGGGTAAAGGCAACCCTTTATTAAGCGTTAAAAATGGTCTTAGCACCGGGTAAGAGGCGCATTCCTGTTCTAAATTAGGTTTCTCTTCTTATGGTGAAATATGTCTTCGTTTTTATTCCAGTAGTAATCCTCCAGTAAAAATCCTCAAAAGAAGAAGATTTTTGAGGATGTAAACATGACAATCTTTTAGGTCTTTGCTGTCTTGACGCTGTTGTTTTCAAGACACCAAAGACCTAACTTTATAATAAATAAATAAATTTAATTGTAAATTGGTCTTTGAAGTTTGCATGAATTTTAAATCTGATGATGGCTCTGTTGTCTCGCCGAAACGTTATGAAATAAACGATACACAAATTTTTATTTCACACTTTGACTGAAACCCAGGAAAGAAAAGAATATAATAACAATTGCGTTATAATGTCCAAAATCATATATTTTCCAATATATTTTTGGTAAATAAAGTTCTGTTCTGATGCGTATCTATGTGCCATACGAACAAGGCACCTTTTTGGGAATAAATAATAATTGGACAACATCAGTTGCTTCATGTTGAATCAAGGAAAAATATGTTTAAAAAACTGAAGATGAAGCAAATAATCAATTCAAAGGAATGTTAAAGTCCCTATTTAGTTTTTATGATTTTTTCCGTATTTGATTTAATCGTTTTGTGTATGCGAATCCATTTTGATGGGAAACTGGAGAAAGTCCCGGAAGTGAAGAACCAAAGGTTATTTTAGTCGCGATCCTATCTGAGGCGTCCAAATGAAAGCGCCGCGACGCTCGTAATGAGCTTTGGCTATTTTCAAAAGTTGGTCAGTCGTCGGAAAGCGGCATCGACGTGCGCCAACTTACCACTTTACATTTTTTTTGCAGAAAAGTGCGTGTAACACCAGTGTCATAATTCCCTCTTTTGTTGCGTATGTGTCCAAGTGTAATTAATTAGAGTTTGAATGCTTATTAATGATTTTTCGGATGTGCATATTCTGTTAGTGAAAGTCATCGTTTTCAATTGGATTATTTAACAAATATATCAAACATTTCTGGACGTCTTGTGACGATCTCTGCACGTGATTTTTTCTCATTATGCCGTCTAACTCAGTCAACAAGTGCTCAGCTCTGTTACCTCTTAACTTTAAGGACATTTTAAATACGTTAATTTATTTTTCAAACCTTGGGATTTTTCTTATTTAGAAGTTTGCACTTTGAGTTTTATTCCGCTTAATTAAGCGTGCAATGAAGTGATTATAAACATCAGATTCTCTTCTTCGCCTCTGGACATAAATGCTGTCTGTAGTGCCACACTTGTTTCTAGAAAGATTTTATCAACAGTAGTTTCTACAAAAAATTATTTTGGCATTTTGTAAGTTTTGATAAAGTGCGTACTAAACGTCGACAACGTAGAGCGCATTGTGTGATCAATTTTTAACGCCTGAACTAATTGTTCGATGTAGTTTCGCACTTTTGACCGGTTAAACTTAAATAAACAAAACTTTGCAAAGAAAAATTCTGAATTCCCATTACATTTTTAACTTTTTCTTCAAATAGTTTATGGTTCAACGCTCATTCATCACCTGGATACCGATGGCAGTTTGCCTCTGCTGCTATTTCAATGTAGGTCAGGAATTTTCGAAAATACATATGACTTTTTCTCACTTTTCAAAATGTTCAAAATAATTAATTGACCAATTTTAGGCTCGTTTTTGATTTACAATCCAACGAAGGAAGGCAGGTTATGAAATAATGTAAATACGAATTAATTTTGCAATAGATTGTGCCATGATATCAACAATTTGGACACTCTTTTTAAAGTAAAAAAAAATCAAACGATTGGCAATTTTTGGATTTTTGAAGATTTGGGTCCGCATAGGTTGTAAAGATGTAAAAGCAAAGTGTTCTTGTCGCTCTCTGTACCATTAAACTTTTAGACAAATTTTACTTCCATAAAATTCGGATTCAGTTCCGAACTTTCATGGAGTATTACGTTTCTCCATTGATTGATTGCACTTGCTCTATTATCTTTGAGCGTTTTAACCCACGTTTTTGGATAAGTTATGGAAAGGTCAAGTTTGTACCTGTTTCAAGTACGAAGCAGTAAAGTTTTGAAAGTAATGTGCACAACGCTAACACCTTCAACATTATAATAAACAATTCAAACTTACTCTTGAATTTATTGCATTCTTCAGTGTCTATTATTAGGTTGAGTTTGCTCTATTTCAACAGTAAACTTGTTCGTTTTCTAAGTGTTATGGTTCGATGTTTTGCGTTGCAGATAATTTGCAAATTTTTAGACTGTTGAATCGGGTAATTGTTGTAAAAAGCTTGTTGGCCGATCGAAGTTTCAAGTTATCAACTGATGCTTCAATTGGTTGTGATTCAAGTTTAAGTACTTGAAACATTTAATTAGGGATCTCTTGAATTTAACGACATACTAATATTTAAAGGGAGCGATTGTTGCACCAACTTTAAAAAAATACTTTACGTATGGCGTAAACGTCCTGACTTTCGAGATGCAGGCTGGAGAAAATTGTTCTTTTTTTAGGCCAAAACCATGAGTGCGTCTAAATAAAATGAACAGATTAATTTCGCTCAGAAATGAATGAGAATTCCAAAAATAATTCTTGTGTTGCATGCGAGCAGGCGTTGTACTTTTTTCTTCAAATTATTCAATACAAAACCCGTTCGGAGGCCCCTAGTAAAAATTATAAAATAGTGTGTACATCAGCAAATGCAACAGAACACGTGTACTAAACCCATTCGCATTTGCGACTCTAATTGAAGCTAAAGTACGCTAAAAGTAAAATCGGGACTTTTTTGTTGCGTTTTGAAATGCTCTAAAAATTAGTTTGTTCATATCTTTGATCCATTTGTGGCAAGATTTGTAAAATCCGGAAGTAGATACTGAAGTTTGCAAAATGTAGTTTGTTTCCATACTTTGAGTTGAGTGAGTTTAGGCCCTAAAATATTACAAAATAACTGGACACAGTTGTTCTTGCACAATGAGCTGTTCCGAAGGGTTAATTGAATTTTGTATAAATCTCCCAGCACTTTTGCTCCATTTGCTCAAAAATTGTCCAGATTCAATTTTGTAAGGAATAGATGCATGAAAAACAGTCTGGACTTGGGTTAGGCCAAAACTTGTCACTTTTTGAGCAAATGAATATTTAAAAAGCGCCGAAAGCTCATCTTTTGCTGGGTGAGAGGCCGAAACAATTTTGAGGAACTAGAAGTAATTAAAAATTTCTGATAAGGACAATTGTTGATAAGGAGACAAATTATTAAGAGCTTTAAAACTACATATCTGAAAAAATAAAATTTTTGGAAGATAAGTTTTCCAACAGGAACCTATCATTGATCATGTTTCGCAGTAGTTTTGGCCCAAATCCCAATTAAGAAAACCTTGACTTTCTGCACTTGAAAACTAGTTCATCAGCGAAAATAGATGACGTTAGACACTTATTGTTAGATCTAGCTGAAGCTTTTAAGAATGAAAAGTTGGACTTTGTCTCCTATCGGAAAATCGACCGTTATGATATGTTATCGTAGTAGTGGACAGTGATGGGTCAAAAAGTAAGCAGCTGCTGCAAGTGCTCGTCCAGCAAAGGGCGGCATTTCGCTTGTTGCGAAAATGCATCACAAGGGTGAGTAGGTAATAACATTAATTTATTTGTGTCAACATTTGGTTGTTTGGCAGCACTTCCAAGATCAGACCGAGTTTGAACGGCACAATTCCAGTCTCAAAATATCACGCATATTTTCAGACTTAAAGCGCGAAAACCATCTGCGATTCGATGCACCAGCCTGGCTAATACAAAGTTAAAATTAAACCAATATCGTGTTTGTCGAAAATTAGATCCAGTTTAACATACTAGTTAATAACGTCTAATTTTAAAACTATTTGGCCCGATTTAAAATAGATGTAGGAAAAATTAGGCATGCAATGGGTCTAGAAGCGACTTTCGATTTCCATAATGAGGAAGTTTGGGAAAAAGTTGCACCGAACATTAATTCATTCAGCCAATTAAATTGAGCTACTTGTTCCAGGTCAAAGGATGGAGCCCCTATTGCTCCTGATCGTCGTCGACGACTCCACATTAGCGGCAACACTATTCAGTTGGCTCTGGATAGTGTACAGAAAACAGATGCCGGAATATACAGGTAAACCCCATCAAAACCCATCAGCTACAGTTTACAGTTACTTTTGTTGCAGAGTAACGGCTACGTCGCCTACTGGCAGTGCTTCACGCGATTTGGAGCTCAGAGTGAGCCAAGGAAGCAGCTCAGACATTGAGGATGAACCTCCGGCGTTTCTGAGGCGGCTGCACGATCTTTCAGTCAAGGTTGGCACGAGGACGCGGTTTTTGGTAGAGATCCGAAGCAGCTCCGATGTTACGGTACGAATCACTTATCGTTTGAGACAATAGTTTGAGAAACAAATTGTCGTTGTGTGTCTTTGGCTGTTCTTGAAATGTTGTCCTACATTGTTGAACCAACTCTTAGACAGAATCTGTTAAAATCCTCATTTGGATGAAGTGAGTTTCAACTTCTACACCGCGTCTTGGCTATTTGCTTAGGTACTTCAATTGCAATATCTATTAGCTGACACTTCCAATTGCTCTTAAAGCAATTGAACAACAATATATAAAATTAGTTTTAGTTTAGAGCACCGGATATCGCTGAATCAGCGACACAACTTATGCAAGACAATTTGGCAGAGTTTTCTGCCATTTAAAAAACATCTACACAACACATGGTTAAGCTTTAAATAAGCCGTGACAAAAGCTTCTTTTATTTGTGGGCTTGTGAATGTTTTGTTGTTATTTTATGGTGTTTTTCAGATAAAATGGCTGAAAAACGAGCAGCCAGTGACAGAAGGCGAAAGATACCGGTTTGTAAACGAGGGCAGTTTTCACTGCATTGATGTCGCACCGGTTACGACTGAAGACTCCGGACGATGGCTTTGCCAGGCGGAGAACGTTGTCGGTTTGGCCAATTCCGGATGCCATCTCAATGTTCTTGGTAAATTCTGATAAGCAAACGTGCTTCAGCTTTCAACTTTTTTGCTGTTGCAGTTCCCAAAACTTACAAAGCTCCCGAATTTATCGAAGAGCTGAAAGCTATCCTGACCGACCAGGGCACAGTCGCTCTGGAATGTAAAGTGGTCGGAGTCCCGACTCCATTATTAAGATGGTTTGTTTTATACAGTGCTGGTCAGTTCTTTTATAACAAGAAATTTTGTTGTGCAGGTTCAAAGATGGAAAAGAGATTCGTCCAGGCGATGTGTTTGCTTTGACCGTCGACCCAAATGAAGACCCGACTTCCTTAGGAACGTATCTATGTGAAGCGGTCAATTGCATGGGAACCGCCACATCCAGCTCTAGATTACACATAGTGGAACATTCCGGAGAAGAAAAATCGAGGATTTCTGGAAGGTACGACCCCCAGGAAACTTTTAGAGTTTCAGGCTGAGAGTTGGTGTTTGGTTTCAGTCCGATCCCTACTGGGCCTCCGCCGACTTTTATACGAGACTTGAAAAACGAAGAAATCAAAATTGGCGATCCCCTAACACTATCCTGTCAAAGTAAGTGGGGATGTCGAAAAACGGGGGAGTTTTTTGCGAATATTGTTTCTTTTGCTTCAGTATCGGTACCTCCTTGGCCCAAATCCATTGGTTGGTACAATTCCCAAGGGAAAATTGACGACCAATCACCACAAAGCAGGTAGGTAAACTTTATTTCCACTTCTTGCATCAATACCCTCTAATCTTATTAAAGCATTTTTCGCAAATAAAAGGGCATAAATATTGTAACGGAAATGGCCTGGGGTACTCACGTTTGGAATGGGGGATCGAAATTGATGGTATTTCAGTAAATGGGAGCCCCATTTGCGAGTTGGAAGAGCGAGTTTTCCGTTTGTTATTTTTATCGTTTGTGAGGCGATGTTGGCGGAGGCGGAGGAGGTGAAGTTGACGGTAATTTTGAAGTTAGTTTGTTCCTGTTCCGCATTTAAAGTTATACCGAGGTGAATAAAAGTTGGAAGCTGAAGAAAGAGTTT